GAGTGTCGTCGCGGCCACGTGGTCGGGTGAGTCGGTCGTGGAAAGTCGGTGGTGGCGGTCGTCGGTGAGGATGGTCACGGTGTCGATCGCGTGTGCCTCGTTAGCGGAAGACGTATAGCCACCGGTTGGTCGAGGCCACGTCATGTTCTCGTCGAGGACGCTGTTGGACGCCGTAGTCGGACTACCGGCGGCGTCGATGGTCATAATGGTGCCGAGGAGCGGCATCACTCGCACCCTCGCCGTCGACTGCAGATGCTATCTCGACAAAGTCGAGGCGGGCGTGGTGGCCGCGCGCGAGGAGCACCGGGCACCTGGCGCAAACTCGAGTAGGAGGAGCAGCAGGATGGTGGTGGTCTCGTCGCATCTCGAGGCCAGGGGCGTCATGCCCGTTTCAGGATAATGTCATCGTCGTTAAGAAAACGGCACAACGCCGAGCTCTTCTTTCCCGCTTCGCCTTCGAGTTACCCCCTCTCTCTCTCTCTCTCGACCGGAGATTCCCCGGCTCCGCTTCGATCCTTTCCTTCCTTTCCTCTCTCTCTCTCCCTCTCGAGTTCTTCTCTTCGAGTCGGAGAGTGGGGAAAAAGAGAGAGAGAGAAAGAAAGAGAGAGAAGAGAGGCGAAGATGAAACCGCTCCACGCGTACTCTTGATATACTCTCTTCTTCCTTAAATTTTTAAATCATTCGATCGCGATTATTCCAACTTTTCTTGATTCGATTTTTTTATACTATACTCTTCGATCGACGCACGAATGTCTCTTTTTGTATATATTTTCTTCTCTTCTTATAGGCGATCGCTACATAACACCTACACACCTGTTCACCCTCTACTGTGGTACTGTCGTTAGAGAGGTTTGGCCCTTGATTTATTGCTTGCGTGAGTCGCGGACTCTCGCGTATTCCCCGATCTCGACGATGACGGAGTTAATACGGAGAAAAATAGGTGCAGAGAGATTCGCGGATAGGAGTCCGGAATGGGATAAAGGCGTGGACGATACGGGTGTTTAGTCAGGTGTGGACGTACAGTGGAGGAAAAGAGGTCGGCGATGCGGAGGAGGGCGAGAAGTAGAAACTAGACCCGGAGAATGGAGAATGGGCGTGAAAAATTGGTCCCCCTTTTTTTTTTTTTTTTTTTTAACAACTTCTCCCTTAAGATTTAAACGATCTCGATCTTGGCTCGATACGCGCCTCAATCTTGTCTCTCTCTCTCTGTCTCTCTCTCTCCCGCGAAATTTATCGGGTTTGGAATCGACACCGAGGCGTATGNTTTGCGAATTGTTTACGAGTTAAACACGCGTCCAAACTCGCCCTGTTAACGCGAGGGGAGAAAAATAGAAATGGAAACTACACACGCGACGACGACGACGAGGGAAGAAAAACGACGGCGAGGAAAAAACGAAAAGAAACACGCGCGACACAGATTTATTTATTTAATTATTTCAACTCTACGCACGCACAGACACACGCACACGTAATCGCGCACACCAGATTGGTTCGTAAAAACGAGTTTATCTATATACGTTTACACATACGTTAGAATCTAATTAGAATTTTCTTTCTCTCTCTCTAACTCCACGTTCGAGGCTCGATTCTCCGATCGATGGTCCTTAGTCGTAATCGTAAATCGATTTATTATCATTCTTTTTTTTTTTTTTATTAATTACTCGTTAATTCGTTACTCGTTATTTGAATTATTATTTATTAAAGTGGCACGAGAAAATGGCTCGAGGGAGGGAGAACGAGGAATGGGGGAAGGAGAGGAGAAGAGAGAAAGGGGAGGGGGGAAAAAAGAAAAAGGAGATCTCATCCGAGAGAGACGCGCCTTCTTCTCGGATCAGAGTCGGCGTCCTCGACCCATCATCTGTACACCATATATTTACACGATCTACACGTCGTCCTCGACCGTCCCTTCCACCCCTCTTCCTCGTTTCACACGCGAGGATCAACAGGATTCATTCGCGCACACCTGGTCCGTCCTCGAACCTTAACCCTCCTCCTCTCGTCCTCTCGCGCACGGAACCGTATCACCCCCCCTTCGAAAGAAAAGAAAAGAAAAAAGCAAAGAAGACACACGGTGTGTTGTCAGCTGATCACCCAACGTTCAATACGGGAGCGAGAGCTCGAACAATCGGACTCCTCCGGCAGCCACTGTCATCAGCTTCCCACCCTCCACGTCTCTCGTCGCGAAATCCGGTCGAGGAAGATCTCGTCCTTCGCCTCGTCACGCTGCTACCTTCTCCATCCGAACTGGCGTCCGCCACTCGTTCCCCTTCGAATCATCTCCCATGGGGAGGAACCCGCTCTCTCCACCGACGACGATCCTCGATCCTCGTTAACAACAACTCTCCACGACTCCTTTTCACTACGTGTATACTCGTCCCCGTGTGCCGAGATCGAGAGCACGATTTTCCGTCGCGAGGCCCGTCACCGTCGCACGCACGATCCTCGCGGATCCCCTCGAACGGAGCACAAGCAGCAGCAGCAGCAGCACAAGAGAGTAGTAAATAACACGCGCGGGAAAACTCGTTCCTCTTCTTCG